GTGACCATGTCGGTGCGGGAGCTCAACCGGCAGCTGCGGGGCGTCAGCAAGGAAGAGGTGATCCGGCTGAAGCAGAAGAGGAGGACCCTCAAAAACAGGGGCTATGCCCAGTCCTGCCGTTTCAAGAGGGTCCAGCAGCGGCACGTCCTGGAGTCGGAGAAGAACCAGCTGCTGCAGCAAGTGGAGCACCTAAAGCAAGAGATCTCCAGGCTGGTCCGGGAGAGGGACGCCTACAAGGAAAAGTACGAGAAGCTGGTCAGCAATGGCTTCAGAGAAAACGGATCCAGCAGCGACAACCCTTCCTCTCCAGAGTTTTTCATGTGAGTTCCCACAGCCTTGCCACCTTAACTAAAAGTTCTCCGTGTGAGTTGTTGTTGGGGGCTTTGCTAGAGCGACAACCCAGCTTGCCACCTCTATTACTTTTTTTTTTTTTTAAAAAAAAAAAAACAACCTCAAAACAATTTTAAAACAAAGTTGGTTTTTGGGTTGGTTTTTCTTTTTTTTTCTTCTTTTTTTTTTTTTTTTTCTTTTTAAGGTGGGCTGGCTCCGTGTTGGCCAGCCTAAAGTTCTACATGAGTTTCTTTTCTGTTATTTTTTTATTATTATTTTTGTGGGGGCTTGCTGTTGTGTTTTTTCTTTTTTCAATTTAAAAGATCCAACTCGCCACCAACTCAGTTCTTCATATGAAGCTTGCTCTTCTTTGAAACCTGCCATCCACATTATATATATATTTTTAAGTTCATGAGGGTTTTTTTTCTTTTGAGCTTGCTGTGTCCAAAAGAGTCAGATTTTTTTTTTTTGCCATCCTGAGTTCTTCATATGAGATTTGAGCTTTGCAAAAAGAAAAATAAAATTAAAAAATACAAAAAAAAACCAAAACAAAAACAAAAAAATACAAAAACAATGTGAAATTTTTAGACTCCAGCTTGCTGAGTTCCATCAGTTTTTAGCGTTGTTGTGCAAAACTAGAGATATGCCTAGATCAACCTGCCAAAATCAAGCCTGCATCAACCTTCGGTGTGTTCATGTGAGTTTTGGCCTTAATCTGCCAAACGTGAGACTTTAGTCTGCCATTAGAATCCCATACTCATCTCATGCATTACGCTTGCTATTTTGTCTTAGCAACAATGAACTATAACTGTTTCAAAAGACTATGAAAAAGAGACATTATATTAATAAAAAACCCTGCATGCTGGTCATGTATGGTATAATTATTTTTTTTTTCTTTTGCTTGGAAATGGACTTTTGGAGACTATTATGGCATGGCATTCATCCTTTTGTTTTATTGCCTCATCACTTTTTTGGGTTGAAAGCAAAAAAGTGCAACCTTTGATCTTCCTCCTCCTCTTCCTCCCCATTAAAGTTTGCATCTGCTCTAAAACTGCTTTGAGTTACTCAAAACTTCAGACTTCCTTTTAAATGCACTGAAGCATTCCCTCTCAAAAAACCTGCCAGAATGGATTTTGATAACCTAATGTGGCAAAAAAAAAATATAAAAAACCACAAAAAGAACTTTGGGAAGATGTTCAAAAACAAATTTCACATCCCACTTGGGGGGGACATTGAAACCATGCTGTTGCCTAAAACAGTCTAAAAATTAATTTTAAGTGATCTGCCCCATTTTTTTTTTTCCTTTTGCATTTGGTCATTGTCAAATGTGGAATGCTCTGGGTTCCTAGTGTATAATTTAATTCTAGTTTCTGTCATCTGTTAGCCCAGTTAAAATGTATGCTACAGATAAAGGAATGTTATAGATAAATTCGAAAGAGTTAGGTCTGTTTAGATGTAGATTTTTTTTTTAAAGATTGATGCACTAAATTGTTTACTGTCGTGATGTAAAGGGGGGTAGAATTTGCAACGGGACTGTTTTAAAAAGTAGTTTATGCAGCATGTGCTTGCAACTTAAATATAAGTTGGGTATATGTAGTCCTTGCTATACCACTGACTGTATTTGAAAACCAAAGTATTAAAAGGGGGAGGCACCCCTGTTTATATCTATAGGGGTATTTTACATTCAAAATGTATGGGTTGGGTTTTTTTTTGTTTGTTTGTTTTCTTTTTTTTTTTTTTTTTTCAAAATTGAAGTATTTGGGACTGAATTGCACTAAGATATAACCTGCAAGCATATAATACAAAAAACAAAAAAAAAATTACAAACCTGTTTAGAACGCTAATACAATTTATGCAGTTATAAAGATGGCATTACTGCACAGTTTTAAAATGATGCAGATTTTTTTACAGTTGTATTGTGGTGCAGAACTGGATTTTCTGTAACTTCAAAAATTCCACAGTTTTAAAGGCAATAATCAGTAAATTTTATTTTCAGGGACTGATATCCTGTCTTTTAAAAAAAAATGGAAAGTAAATCTTACCACAATAAATATAAAAAAATCTTGTCAGTTACTTTTTCTTTTACATATTTTGCTGTGCAAAATTGTTTTATATCTTGAGTTACTAACTAACCACGTGTGATGTTCCTATGTGCTTTTCTTTCATTTTCGACTCTATGGTTATATCAAAAGAGAGAATAATCTACAATAATAAACTGCATTTTTTTGATTCCGTACTCAGTTTCTTAGTCTGTAGTTTAAAGTTCAATAACTCCGAGAGCAGTACTTCAGCATACTGCCTGGCGAAGGGGTGATGCTGATACAAGAGCTGGACTCAATAATATTCAGGAGGGGAGAAAGACAAGGATAGCTTCGTGTAAAATGGAAAATTGTCGCCTGCTAGAAATAAAGTTATCTTTCAGGTAGATGAAAAACGTGAGCTTTCAGGTGCTGCTCCTGACTTCTCAGTATTGCAGTGAGCTCGGTTTCAGTGACTCAGATCATCCCGCCAGGTTTTAGGAGATCTCAAAGGGGAGGTCTGCTTAAAAAGCTGATGACATGATACGGCCCTGTATTTTGATTGTTTTATGATGGAGTGAAGTGAAAAGGAAGACTTCACATCCTCTTATCATCTGATCCCAGCTAAGCATGCCTGTCTCTAGTAAGAGATGACACCACATCAGGCTTTTCTTGTCACAGAGCCACTTAATGCTAGATTGAAAGATTTCTTGTCATTTGGGTCCATACTACCTCCTTTTTTCCTTTTCTTTGCTTCCCCCCCTGCCCCTTCTTCTTCGTTTGTGCTGTGGTTTTCTTTTTTTTTCTCCTTTTTTTTTTTTTTTTTTTTTTTTTCTACAGGCCTTAGAAAGCCCAGAGAGAACTGAGGAGCAGAGAGAAAAAAAAAAATTCAAAGCACTTCCTCCAACTTTTGGGAGTTACATGTTCTAAACAATCAGTCCCAAACGTTAATGTGCTAGAAATGTTCAGGTCTCTGAGGCCTTCTTCATTGCAGTTCTCCCTGTCAAAGAGCATTTTGACTTCGAAAGGGTCCTCAAACCCTCGAACCAGTTCGTTTAAAGCCACCTTCTCCGAGAGCCTCCAGTGTCCATTTGCAGAGTCCTCTCCCTCTCTTTGAATGAGATTTTCTGCCCAGTTTATTTGAGAAGCAGAGGCCTCTCCAAAGGATGCTCCAGCCTTTCCAGGATGAGGGTTTTATCTCCAAACTAAGGCTCATAAACCCAATACCTTTTTTTATTTGTCCTTTACGTATTTCCCCCCCTGCTGTTGGCGCAACTTCTTCCCAGCTGTAAGGTTGTCCCTCCCAGGTGCTGGTGGCACTGAAAGGAGAGGACCTGTTGCTGTTCCTCTGCCTGGCTGGTCCAGACCACATCTCGGACCGCATCCTGCCCTGTGTGCTGGGGTCAGGATGCGGCCCTGAGCTCCCCCACAGCACCTGCACCCATGAGAACGGGCATCAGTGGGCACTGGGTGCTGTTGGAGGTCACCCTGCTCCCGTGGAGATCCCTGTGGAGGGGATGGACACCCAGCCTTGCCATGGGTGACAGCGAGCATCGGTGGCTGTGGTCCTCGATGCCAATGCTGCGCTTTGCCCCCTCCCCAGCACCGGGGCACCAACTTGCCCTTTGGCATCTGACCTGCTGTTGCACCAGGGTTTGAGTAATGGTTCAAGCTCCAGATTCTGGTTAATTCGAGTTCCATTTTCTGGTTAATGTGTAATCTGTGGGTAAACTGGTTGCTATTGGCTGAGCAGAGAATTATCTCCTCTCATAAAGACAGGGCTGATTTTTATTTCTTCTCCCGCCTCCCCTTCCCTGGCTGAGCCTTTACTGATGCCCAGGTTTTTTCGCAGTGGTTCACTTAGAGGCTTCACTGCTGCCCTTGCCGAGAGCTCCCGAAGGAGCCCTGCCCTATGGAAGGGAACGGACAAGGCCTCTCCTCGGCAAAGTCCCCACTGAAGCGGCACTTCAGGCCCTGAGGGAGCGTGGAGCCCAAAGCCCCTGGCACGAGACCCACTTTTGGTCCAGCCTCATCCCCGTGCCCCTCTGCCGCTCTGCTCTCTGAAGTTAGGAGCAGGCACTCGGATTTTAAAAGTATTGTGAATTAACTAACTAGCGCAGAGCAAGGGGAGCACTGCTGCCTCTCTGAAGTATCTTCTTTCTAGAAGGAAAAAAAAACCACCCTGTTTGAACAGTGATAAGAGAGATCCTTTTTAGAAATAGACTGGGTGCAAAAGGGAAAATTCCCATCACACGCCCAACCTGAGAGGGAAAAAAGGCTCTCTCCCAGTTTGGCATCGTTCTGACACGTTGCAATCTTGCTTTGCAAATAAAAAAAAAAATTGCAGCCTTCCTTAGGCTGCACTTGAATTTCAGCCTGAAACACGCCAACTGCCCAGCTGAAGGGGAAAAAAAATAGATGCACATTTTAATGTTCACTAAAGCAAAGTGGGTATTGGGGTTCTCTGTATGAATCATTGCAGGGGAGCGCCCACCTTTG